AGAATTGTGCTGTTGTGAATATCTAAATACAAGTCTTTTGGTCAATATACATATGCTTTTCTGCTCTATCAACTTACACACTCCCCAGCAGGGAGCCCCATATCCGCCTGTCCGACATCCTCGCCAAATTCCACATATTCCATCTTATTTCTGCCATTCTGGTGGGTGTGCAGTAACATCACTAAAATATCGTCAGTGTCTATCGATTCATTACAGCTTAATTCCAAAAAGAAATGAAGGCAGCTTGCAACAAAAAGCCAGATTAAATAGAAATAATTTTTAAAGTTTTTTTTAAAAGGCAAAATAGTGAAGAAAGAATGCAGATAATTACACTAGAAATCCATACCAGGATGTTAGTAATTACTACAATTCAGCAAAAAACTTACTTCTGAAATTTCTGACAGCCAGTACCAAGACAGAAATGTGATGCATTCCATGGCTTTCATTCTCTAATAGAAGGCATTACAACAAATAGCAAAAGAAATTCTGGTCTTGCTCTTTGATATTTACCCACGTAAGCTGAAAATGTTGGGGCTATGCATGGTGGCTCACATCCATAATCCCAGCACTTTGGGAGGCTAGATCACCTGAGGCTATGAGTTTGAGACCAGCCTGGCCAACACGGTAAAACCCCGTCTCTACTAAAAATACAAAAATTAGCCAGGCATAGTGGTGTGCACCTGTGGTCACAGCTACTCCGGAGGCTGAGGCACAAGAATCACCCGAACCTGGGAGGCAAAGGTTGCAGTGAGCTGAGATCATGCCACTGCACTCCAGCCTGAGCAACAGAGACAGTCTCAAAAAAAAATAAAAATAAATAAAGCAAAACCATGGAAATAGTAGAAAGACAGGTGGTTGCCAGGGGTCTGAGGAGAAGAGAGGGATGAACAGGTGGGGCACAAAGAAGTCTCAGGGCACTGAAATGACCCTCTGTGGTACTAGAAATAGTGGATCCACAGAATGTACAACACCAACAGGGAATCCTAACGTAAACGATGGACTGTGGGTGGTGTGTCCACGTGGGATCATGAACTCTAACAAAAGTACCGCTTTGGTAGGAGATGTTGGCAATGGGGAGGCTGTGCATGAGTGGACAGAGGGAGCATGTAGTAACTCCCTGTACCCTCCTCTCAATTTTGCTGTGAATCTAAAATTGCTCTAAATAATAATGTGAAAAAAAGAATTAATATTTAGAGGTTTAATGTTCGTAACACAATGTATTCAACAGCAATTTTATAAAAGACATAGAAACATTCTGCATAGAGTTCTCTAATTTTTTTTCTTTTTATGAGACAGAATTTGACTCTCTTGTTGCCCAGGCTATTGCGCAGTGGCACAATCTCGGCTCACCGCAACCTCTGCCTCCCAGGTTCAAGCAATTCTCCTATCTCAGCCTCCTGAGTAGCTGGGATTACAGGCGGCTGCTACCACACCAGGCTAATTTTTGTATTTTTAGTAGAGACAGGGTTTCACCATGTTGGCCAGGCTGGTCTCTAATTCCTGACCTCAGGTGACCTGCTCGCCTCAGCCTCCCAAAATGCTGGGATTACAGGCGTGAGACACCTCACCTTAGCGCATCTCTCTACATCATCAGCATTAAGCTGCCAGCCTAATGCTAACTATGTGATTCTCCGAGGATACTGAGTCAGACCAGAAGAAACAGCATGCAGAGCTCACCAGCACCTAAGGTTCTGGGATGGATATGGCACGTGCCCAGAACTTCCCCCTTCAAGTATTAGTTGCCTCACGAGTTTCTGTTCTGTTGTCAAATAATTTTCTTTACAGGTAATAAAAATACTAAACATTCAATACTGGCAATAAAGGAAAACACAGAAGAAAATAAAGATTAATCCTGCCACCCAGAGACAGCCTTCTACAATTCAGTATCCTATAACAGACACTTCTAATTCACGTGCTTTTCTTTGCTTAAATATATAGTTTGTGCTATCTATCCTATTAACTTACTATTTTGGCAGCTATGGAACTAATTTATTTAATCAGAAATCTATTGCTAAGATACAGATTTGCTCCCAACTTCTTACTCTGAGGAATAGGTTTCAACATAAATCACTGTGTATATTTCTACTTACTTAGTATGAATTGCTAAAATTAGAATTACTAAAAGTCAAAAAGCACATGGAAGTAGAGGCTTTTCTACACTGCCAAATTACCCCACAACTTCAATCAGTTTACACCCCATTCATGTGTATGAGAAAACTTGTGTCCTTGCGTTTCACAAACCTGGATGTTTTTGGTTGTTGATGTTTTTAATGTTTGCATTTTTTTTCTTTTTGAGACAGGGTCTCACTCTGTCACCCAGGCTGGAGTGCAGTGATTACAGCTCACTGCAGCCTCAAATTCCTGGGCTCAACAATCCTCCTACCACAGCCTCTCTAGTAGCTGGGACCACAGGTGTGTACCACCATGCACAGCTAATTTAAAAAAATTTTTTTTACAGATGGGTTCTTGGCTAAGCCAATCACCTGAGGTCAGGAGTTCAAAGCCAGTCTGGCCAACGTGGCGAAACCCAGTGCCTACCAAATAAACAAAAATTAGCTGGGCATGGTGATGCACACCTGTAATCCAAGCTACTAGGGAGGGTGAGGCAGGAGAACTGCTTGAGGTGCAGGCTGCAGTGAGCCGAGATCATGCCACTGCACTCCAGTCTGGGCGACAGAGGGAGACTGTCTCAAAAAAAAAAAAAAAGAGATGGCGTCTCATTATATTGCCCAGACTGCTCTCGAACTCCTGGGCTCAAGCAATCCTCCTACATTGGGCTTCCAAAGTGCTGGGATTAAGGCATAAGCTACTGTCCCTAGCCCAATCTATGCAAAACTCATTGGTTAAAAAACAGCATTCATTCTTGAACTCTCTCATCTTTGGTTTACAGCAAGGATAAACAATTTCAGAAGTCTGCTGCCGTGTGAATTTCTGAATTTGAAAGGTGCTGTTCTGTTGCTCTTTCATTTAACCAATACGTATCTATTGCAAGCCTAGCAGCAGCTGCTGGGTGCTACGCTAGCTGCTGGGGATACAAAATGTACAAAAACAGAAATGTCCTCTGATGACATTCCTTACAAATCCCAAGGGTTGTAACGATGTCCTTCCAGATGCTGAAGAGTGCCACCAAACATGATGCTCTGGCTGTGGTGTAATTCAAAGTGAGTGGTTCCCATGGTAGTGTCTTTTGAACCCATTCCTTTTGAGCTTCACAGCAACATTGTATCACTTGCCTTCAATGGCAGAATGGCATGGACCTAGTTCACCTAAGATCCCTACCAAATTCTTCAGAACAACTTTAAGAGGAAACATAAATAGATACAAAAGATAGAAGAACAAAGACAAAACAGTGACACACACACCCAGGGAATACCATGCAGAGAACCAGAAAAGGCCTGTGGGAGATGACGTTCTAATAAAGATGATGATGGAAGGGACAGGTCCCTTGTTTGTCTGCATTGTTGAATCAGAATGATTCTAAACTAGCGAAGCCTAAAGTCCAGATGGGTTAGCAAAGGACTACATCAAAGTGTGCTGAAGCTCAGTGCAGCTGCCTCAGACCCCATCTGGAATCCCCCAAACCGTGAACCTGAGGACACAAGCGGAACACTAATTAGATTCTCTGAGGACAAAGATCCAGCAGATCATTCAGACAGCAAGATCAGACCCCAGATCCAGATCCAAAAGATCTGGAAAGGCTGGCTGAGGCAAAGGGCCAAAAAGGAAAAGGCCCCTAGTGACGTGGCTCCCAAGAGAGCCTGCTCAGCTGCCCTAGCAGCACAGCCCAGGACCACCTGCTCCTTCCGCATTGGGAGCACTTGCGCCCACAGCCGGGTGACCCGGGCAGCTGCAGGAGGGAAACCTGGAGCCAGAGGGATGGAGAGGGGTCACATCCCTGGCACAATGTGAAAGAAAAGAACAATCTCAGAGGGGATGAGACGGCCACCTTCAAAGAGCTATAGGGTAGACAGAGAAGAAAACTCATTTTGTGTAGTTCACAACAGCCTTATTCACACTAGTCAAAAAATGGAAACAACCCAAATGCCTGTCAACTGATGAAGGGATCAACAAAACGTGGTCAACAACACGACAAAGTATCATTCAGCAAAATGAAGAAGTATGGACCCCACAAAACCCGGATGAACCTTGAGACATCACACTAAGTGAAAGCAGCCAGTCACCAAAGACCACACATTGTGTGATTCCATTAATATGAAATGTCCAACCAGGCAAATCCACGGGGACTGAAAGAACGTTAGCGACTGCCAGGGACTGTGGAGAGGGGATGGGAAATGACCATTAACAGGTTTAAGGGGCAATGAAACTGTTTTGGAACGAGACTGACTGCACAACTCCGTGACTGTGCTACTTTTTACTTTGATAAAGCTGTTATTTTTTTTAAAGGTATCCATTATATTTTCATTTTATATTCACAGCTCTATGAGGTAGCTATTTTACAGATAAAAAAAAAAAACCTGAGGCTCAACAAAATCACACGAGTAAATGACAGAGGCGGGTGAGAACCCAGCTCACTGTCCAATCCAAACCCCGACTCCTCGTCACTACGCTGGTTATACTACTTCCTAATAGATGAAAAAGGCAGATTTCAGCTGGACACAAGAAAGGCCAGTCTAACAACAAGATCAGTGCCCTCCCACTCATCGGGAGTTGAGACAGGGGCTGGAGAAGGGAGTGCTGAGTCCATAGGAGGGCATACCTGCTAACCCCTTCGTTGCCTTGCAACTGAACACACTACACCCTCTCTATTCTAAATCTCCGACCACCTAACATTTGCCGAAGCTCCATGCTATTTCTTTAAGCTATTCTTGGTTCTATATACTTAAGAAACTGTAGTTTTCCTGTAATTTTTTAAAATTTTACATGTCCTCCACTGTCCAAAATAGCATTATTTAGATGCTGAGATGTATTTCAATTACTCAGCAAAACAATGGGAACTAGAACGTGAGCCATGGAAATGCGCAGTCAGCTGGTATACTTACTGTAAAGTTCATTCCCTTGATGGAGAACTTCAGGTGTTCAAATCCCACTCTCACTGTATACTGAGTATAATTCAGGTAGCCAAGGTGAGCCACAATAATTTCTGCACATTTCTGCAAATATACAAGGAAGATTTGTCTTTAAGAAAAGCGAGACTCACACTCCCACCGAATGACCCATGAAATAACACATTTCAACAGCAGATGAGGAACTTATCATCGTCTCCAGGGAAATAGCTAGAAGCCCAGAGAAAGTCAGAAGCCAGCCAAAAACAGTTCCTAGAAAGAATGAACCAAATGGATACTTTTGAAAACACAGTATATGAGTTACACCAATTGGAACCTTTCTACTCTGGATGACTGAAAATAAGTCACTGTGTAAGAAAGTTAACAGTGCAATGCAAGTCTGACATTTCCATAAATATGTAATACCAGAGCTGGGGGAAACGTAAGCAGAGACACATCAACACAGATGCTGCAGCCTAATTTGTCCTCCCTGGCCCAATTTTGCAATTGTTATAACAATAAAGAGTGAATTACATACTTTTATTTATTTATTTATTTATTTTTGAGACGGAGTTTTGCTCTTGTTACCCAGGCTGGAGTGCAATGGCGCGATCTCGGCTCACCGTAACTTCCACCTCCCGAGTTCAGGCAATTCTCCTGTCTCAGCCTCCTGAGTAGCTGGGATTACAGGCAAGCACCACCATGCCCAGCTAACTTTTTGTATTTTTAGTAGAGACGGGGTTTCACCTTGTTGACCAGGATGGTCTTGATCTCTTGACCTCGTGATCCACCCGCCTCGGCCTCTGAAAGTGCTGGGATTACAGGCTTGAGCCACCGCGCCCGGCCACATATTTTTCTTTCTCTCCTTTTAACGTGTCATTCTCCACCTGGAGCCCCCTTTCCCCTCCACGTCCACCTTCCACCTTCCACGCTCCACCTTCCACCCTCCACCCTCCACCCAGAGTCAAAGCAAAGGCTGTGTGCACAGCAGCACGTGTGGACATGTGTGCTCCACTGTTGCCAAAAGCCCCTTCCTTTTCTCCTTTAGGATTAAGAGCCAGGTCTCCAATGCTTTGTTATCCCCTTCCAGAGTGACAGGGAGGATGAACTCTCATGCAGGGACACAGAGGTGCACCTACCAGCCATGCACACAGAGCTGGCCACTCCTCTCCAGCGAGCTCTGCCCTGGCCCTGCCTTTTGGAATGTCACTCTCCACCATCCAGCTGCTAACCGGAGCAAACGGGTGGTTCTCTGGCTAACAGGGCATTGCTCCAATGGCTGGCCAAGCCTCAAATGTCTGAGGTCAAGTAAGAAAACAGGTGTGGGTTTGGGTTTTACAAACCAGCCTTAAAAAGACGAGAGAGCGGCCTGGCACAGGGGCTCACACCTGTAATCCCAACACTTTGGGAGGCCAAGGCAGGCAGATCACTTGAGACCAGGAGTTCAAGACCAGCCCGGCCAACATAGTAAAACCCTGTCTCTACTAAAAACACAAAAAATTAGCCAGGCGTGGTGGCAGGAGCCTGTAATCCCAGCTACTCAGGAAGCTGAGGCAGGAGAATCACTTGAACCCAGGCAGTGCAGCTTGCAGTGAGCCAAGATCACACCATTGCACTCCAGCCTGGGCAACAAGAGCAAAACTCTGTCTCAAAAACAAATTAACAAAAAGACAAGAGGGCAACTGTCAGGGAGGGGGAGGAGTTATGAGGCTGGGTGACAGAGCGGGGGTGCTGACCTACGGGAAGGGGGAGAAAGCAGAGAGGAGGGGAGTGTGCAGGGGGCTGACGGAGGCACCAAGGTCACCATCTCAACTCGCCAAACACTTCAGCTCACTGGCAGCCCTGGGCCTGTACAGAAGCCCATAGTGCTCCACAGGGAGGGGCTCCCCCCAAAGGGGGCTGCAAGCCCTCTGGCTGGCCACCTGCCCACCTCCGACTCTCCTATAAAGGAAACACAGGTCATCTGCTATTTTCATCGCACTGGAGCTGAGGCTTCCCTTCCACCTGATCAGCTCTCCTCATTGGAATCTGCTGCCTGCCCTCTGGGCATTAAGTATGTGGTCCACCTTCTCAGCAAAATTAAATTCACCTTTCCCCGCTGGCACTCGGGTCATGGGATGACACACAGATGTGGGGAACACTCCCGTGTGAGACCCCTAAAAGGCGTGAGTCTCACTATACGGTGAGTTTGATCCCAAACACAGTTTCCTACTCGAGGCAGTCGAGCTATCCGGAAATATAGGAAGAAAGATGAATGATCAGTTTCTAATATCAACCACAATATCATTTGGGCCTAAAACTATGCGTTGCTGCTAGACTGAGTGACCCCCTGCCAGCAACCGGTTCCTGCTTTTAACCTTTTTATGACTTTAAGAATAATCCTTAAACCTTACTTACCAGACTGCCTTGTACCCTAGATAATGGTTTAACTGCCGATATTTACAAAGCAAATGCCACCATAAGGGATGGCTTTGATTCCTGACTCAGAGATTCCTGAATGGAGAAATTGAGTTGAGTTAGGAGTAGACAAAGGAGAATCCGGTTAAAAGATATTCTGATAAGCAAAACCAGAAAACTTTTTCACATCTCAGTTCTAAAACAAGATCAAACCAGAGATACCTGCAGCCAGGAGGAATAATGTCTGGATGTAAACAAGCTTTGTGATCACAGGAAATTCTGTTACTTTTTACAACCACTGATTGTGTATCTGATTTTTCAATTGTATAGGCCACGTAAGGTATACATTTGCATCTCCTCTTGCAACCATTGTGTATTTGATTTCTCTATTGTATAGGCCATGTGAGGCATACATTTACATTCCTCTTACTATGACGTAAACCGGAGCCAAGAAAGTGTATTTATTCCTGGCCTTTGAAAATAAAATTTGCTGTTTAGGCACAGCCTATCAGCCCTCCAGACGCCTCGCTTTCTCTCTCTCTGTCTTTATTATTTTCCCAGGCGCACTCCCTCTTCCAGGTATTGGGACCCTCTTGCAGGTCGAGAGACCCCCGGGCAGACGTGCCTACCCGTCCCGGACGGTCCACGACACACAGAGGCAGGGGCAGCTAAGGATTTGGCCTCATCAGGAAGGGATGGCTGAAAATCTGTACATTTTTGCTGTGTGGACAAACATTTCTTTTGAGTTTAAGAATTTGTGTCACTTTTCAGGGATGTTTTAATTAACAAAAGAGTTGTATCTCAGGCTGCATATATTTATGAGTTTAAAAAGATTGGCCGGGCATGGTGGCTCACACCTATAATCCCAGTACTTTGGGAAGCTGAGGTAGGCAGATCACGAGGTCAAGAGATCGAGACTACCCTGGCCAACATGGTGAAACCCCGTCTCTACTAAAAATACAAAAATTAGCCGGGCCTGGTGGCACGCACCTGTGGTCCCAGCTACTCGGGAGGCTGAAGTACAAGAATCGCTTGAACCCAGGAGGCGGAGGATGCAGTCAGCTGAGATTGTACCACTGCACTCCAGCCTGGTGACAGACCAAGACTCTACCTCAAAAAAAAAAAAAAAAAAAAAGACTACACCAAGGATTCTGAAATCCCAAGTTCAAACCATGGTTCTGCTGCTGACTATGATGCACCTCTGAAAATCATGTGATGGTACCATGGCTCTCACCTGCAAGATGCAAGATGCAAGATGTGGAAAGCCTTACTTCCTAAGTCAGACAATGGCTTTTCTTTAAAGCAAAAAAAAAAAACAAAACAAAACAAAAAAAACAAGCAAGGCACAGTGGTGCACACCTGTCATCCTAGCTATTTGGGAGGCTGAAGCAAGATTGCTTGAGCCCAGGAGTTCAAAGCCAGCCTGGGCAAAACAGGAAGACTGTGTTTAAAAAACCCAAAAGGCCGGGCGCGGTGGCTCACGCCTGTAATCCCAGCACTTTGGGAGGCCGAGGCAGGTGGATGACGAGGTTGAGAGATCGAGACCATCCTGGTCAACATGGTGAAAGCCCGTCTCTACTAAAAATACAAAAATTAGCTGGGCATAGTGGCGCATGCCTGTAATCCCAGCTACTCAGGAGGCTGAGGCAGGAGAATTGCCTGAACCCAGGAGGCGGAGGTTGCGGTGAGCCGAGATCACGCCATTGCACTCCAGCCTGGGTAACAAGAGCGAAACTCCGTCTCAAAAAAAAAAAAAAAAGTAATATAAGAGGGTGGTAAATGTCTCTGTAATGTCTACTTAAAATTCCATGTTTTTAAAAGCCAGGGCAATGCTCTTTGCAGGGTTAGAGAGAGACTTGAGCAGACAGGAAACAGAAGCAAACAGAAGCACCCAAGGGGTGACACGGTGTAAACTGAGGTAGGGCCAAAACGGAAGAGGGAAGAAGCCAGAGATGCACTGAAGCACGAGTCTCCAGGTGCATGGCATGGCAGCCACATCCCAGAAGCAACATTGCAGGCAGCCAGCACCGCGGCAGCCAGGCATGGTGGCGGGTGCCCTGCTTGAAGCAAAGGTTTTTAGGTAGGGCAACCTACTTGTCCCAACAGAAAGTCATGTGTGCTGAGAAACCACTCAGTGCAGGCAAACCAGGATGATGCATCTCACCAGCTCCAAATAAGCAACCCCTGACTAATGGTCCACTGAGCCTCAATCTGAGAGGCAGCAAGGTGGGTGTTATCTATCAGCTGTTTAGGTGGGAGTGGCCGCCAGGCCCTTGGATGGGAAGAGAGCAGTTTCTTGGGCCATGGTCCCATCTGACACTCGTACCTGCTGTCCCTCCTGTGATTCAGCAGGACTGGTCACACCCCTTCTGCACACAGGCCTAGCTGGGGGACAACAGGTCTGAGTGTCAGATAGGACCTCGTGCTGCACACATAAGGCACACTCAAACGTTATTCACCTGCATCTTCACTGCTTCCCTAAGGCAGGAAGGGAAAGCTTGGTCCCCATTTTACAGATGGAGAAAATACACTTAGGAAGCTGGCTCCACCCCTGGAGGCAGAATGAGAGGCCAGTCCCACCATATTCTCCCACCTCAGCCTCCCAAAGTGCTGGGATTACAAGCATGAGCCACCACGCCCAGCCCTTTAATCCTTTCTTGCCAGGTAAAACAGATCCAATGTGTGTATTGTTAGTAATCAGGCAGTATGCATGGTAGTTAAGGCCACAAGCTTCAGAATAAAAGGGGACAGGCTTAAATCCTGGGCCTTCCACTTAAAAACTGCACTGCCTTGGGCAATGGTTTAGACCTCTCTCAGCCTCAGTTTCTTCTATAAAACAGGTTCTAACAGCAGTTTCTACTTCATGGACCTGCCATGAAGACTGAATGAGACAATGAGTGGACAGTACTTGGCACGACACCTAGCAGAGAAACTACCTGCCACCTGGCTTCTGACCTTACTTTTCTAATCCTATAAGCAAATGCACTGCCCTGTTTTGATGCTCTCCACGTTCTCCACGCTGCCAATCATCTGTGCTGTGTCCGAGGTGGACTCCTTGCTATAGCAGGGACCTGGTTCTGGTTCTTTGGGCTCTAAAGAGAACACAGTACCAATGAAATCAAGCACGAGGGCTTGTTCTTCACTCTGGAGCCCAGGTTTCCTATCCCTTAGCCACACTGTGCTCTAAAGTAGATGCTCAAAAAGGCAGGCCCCAAGAGGCCCAGGTATTCGGTTTCACGCAGACGGATGAGGGCGTGCATCGCATGGCTGGGAACAACCCGATGGAAAATGAGTCAGGTCTGGTGGCACACACTTGTAGTCCCAGCTACTTGGGAGGTTAAGGTATGAGGATTGCTTGACCCCAGAAGTTTGAGGCAGCAGTGAGCTATGATTATGGCACTGCACTCTAGCCTGGGTAACAGAGCAAAACCCTCTCAAAAAAAAAAAAAAAACTAGTGACCATAGCTGGTGGCAGAGCTTCCTATGAGATGGCAGCCCATGATGTTCATTAGGGACACAGCGGGCAGCAGGTCATACACACTGTAAAAACAAGTACCACGTATGCTCAGGGTAGCTGGCAGTACGTGTTTATACACGTGTGTTTATGGATGTGTGCATACATGTGTAAGTTTGTAAGAATTTCTAAGGGTATTCAAGCATAAAATTAAGAAAGTTTCTCAGGCCATCTTTGGTATGACTCCATTTTTTTCCACTTAAGAACAATTTCTCAAAGCCTCTTACCACGCTAATTTCTACATGGGAAAGCGGCTCTGTAATTAAATGTGTACGCAGCCCGAGGACTGACTGTGGGGCTCACCCCACACACTCACCCCTGTACATGTGAGGGTCCTTGTCCGGTTGTGAACTTTGTTATGAATGTACATAGTGGTTCCATCTTGAGCTACACCATCGACTTTAACAGTCATGGGAAAGCTTGTCTTAATAGAAGTTTCTACAAAAGAAAAAAATTCAGTGTCAGAGACCATGCCAGGCACATCACACCTCCAAAGGTGCCTTCCTGGCTCCGTAATGAGCTCGGAGCCAGGAAAACACAGAAAGCCCACAGGTCCATAGGCCACACTGGCCACAGAACATCTGGAAATTTCTATTTGCCCAGCAAAGTAAAGCCTTTCCATTAGATCCCAACCCAGCACACAGGGGGCCTAAATCAAAACCTGCATTTCAGATCCATCAGTTTCACTTCACACACAGAAAAAAACAGTAAATATTTCATGGCTAATAAACTTGTGATGTTTAATTTCTCACATGCATTTTTAATGTACCAAATTCTATATCAAAATAGAAAGAGATTTCTTATTACGTTTTTCTAATTATACTCATTTTAAAAAATCGTAACAAAATACAAAGACGGCATCAAGCACTAAGAATTTCACCACCTAGAGATAATCATAATTCATATTTTGTGTCTATCCTTCCAGGCCATTTTCTAGACATACAAATACGTAGTAGTATAAATTTTTTGCTTTCTAGTTACAAAGAGGGAGTAACTTTTTGTTAATATGCATTTGTTTCATACTATGGTCATGGGGTGATCTTTTCAAATTCTTCCTCAACCAGTGTCTCATCTGAAGCACAGAACAGAAAATGACTTGGGTGAGAATCTTCTCAATTCTCCCTAGGATGATACAAAGTTAGTGCCACTGCAGACTGACGGAAGCTAACTCATCATAAACAATGGATGCGTTAGGGGAGGGGGTTTCTCAGCCTCTGCACCACTGACATTCTGGGCCAGATAATTCCTTGTTTTTGAAGCAGGAGAAGGTGTCAGCATCTCTGCCCTCTACCCACTAGATGACAGGAGCACTCCCTCCTCCTCTCCATTTGTGACAAAACTGTCTCCAGACATTGCCAAGTGTCCCTGGGGACCAGAACCATTACTTTAGGGCATAAGGCCTTAATTCTCTCCCGGATCCCCACTGAAAAAGGCTGGCAGCTGCAGGCAGATACCATGCAGCCACTGAACTAAGCTGACCAGGACTCTACCGAGGACATAGATCTATCGTAACTTACTCTCTCCCCCGACTGAAAGACATTTGAGAGGTTTCCAATTTGTCGCTATGATAAATAATAATGGACATCCTTATATATCTATTTTTGAGCACTTGTCCAAATATTCTGAAGTCAACATCTAAAATACGATGCTTCACACCAAGACAAATTATCCCAAAATGTCAAGCTCCGTACCTTTTGATTGATCCAACTCAACAACACATGTCAGCCATAGTTGCTGATTATATGTAGACAGTGGATTTGAAAGTATTTGAATTGGCTTTAGCTGAAGAAAAAGAACAAAGTAATGCATGTGACCTTTTCATTGAGTCTCCCAAACACCTCATCATCTTAACACACAAACTTTACATTTAGCAAAACAGGTTTGAGTGTTAGCTCTGAAACAGAAATATGTGAGGCTTTCTTTCAACAACAAGTGAAATTCTGCCTTCCAGAAAAAAGGAACGACTAACTTCCAGCTGCAATTCATGTCTGTCTCTCACGGAAACATCTAAGCAGGCATGTTCCACACTTGGAGCCTTGGGGACAATACACTTACTTAAATACTAAGAAAAAAATCTTGGAAAAATAATAAAATGAGCAGAATGATGAGATACATAGTAAGACAATAAAGAATACCAAAGAAATACTTTCATATTTACAAGGTAACATATCTCAAAAATTATTTCTTTAGTATCCGTATGCCAGGCAAATTGCTCTTGACATATGCTATTTTTAGCTTTGTGAAAGAAAGCTTTCATCCCAGCGAGAAAAATTAGAGGTGATGATGTTGCCAATGATTCTTCTGCATTATCTTTTAAAGACATAATGTTGGTGTCAAACAGCAGTAGGCCGCAGAGAGAGGTGAAGCAGCCCACCCATGGTTCCAAAGCATTATTTGAATGCATGGTCTTTGCAGGTGAATGTGTTATTTTTTGTTTTATGTGTTGGTTTTCTTTTTCCCTTTTTTTTTTTTTTTGAGACAGGGTCATGCTCTGTCACCCAGTGCAGGAGTGCAATGGTGTAATCATGGCTCACTGCAGCCTCAACCTCTCAGGCTCAAATGATCCTCCTACCTCAGCCTCCAAAGTACCTGGGACTACAGGTGTGCACCACCACACCCAGCTTATTTTTTAATTTGTTGTAGAACATGGTCTCCCTTTGTTGCCCAGGCGAGTCTCGAATTAATGTGTTGTTTTTGTGTTTTAATACTTCTGTCAGAGTCTCAGTGAAACTCCCTAGGACAGACGACTTGCCTAAAAACCATCAAGGCAAGAAACCTCTCCAGGGATAGCCACCATCTTCGTGAAGTGAGGATGGTCTCCTGGATGCAAGTCAGGTCTCTTGGAATGGCTGCTGTGTTCAATGTCAAAGAGAGAGACAAAAATTGTAGGGCCAGGCGCGGTGGCTCATGCCTGTAATCCCAGCACTTTAGGAGGCCGAGGCGAGCGAATTATGAGGTCAGGAGATCGAGATCACTCCAGCCAACATAGTGAAACCCTGTCTCTACTAAAATCCAAAAAAACTAGCTGGGCGTGGGGGCGTGCGCCTGTTGTCCCACCTACTCGGGAGGCTGAGGCAGGAAAATCACTTGAAACCAGAAGGCATAGGTTGCAGTGACCCGAGATCGCACCACTGCACTCCAGCCTGGCAACAGGGCAAGAATCTTTCTCAAAAAAAAAAAAAAAGGAAAAGAAAAGAAAGAAACAGTATAAGATGTACTGCCAGGAAAGTCCACGGCGGCACCTCTTCAAATCAGATCATCAGGCCGACAGAGAAAATCACGCGATGCCAAGAAAGTGTGAAGACAGGCTGAGCAGAAGCCCTTCAGACTAGCGGCAGCGAAGACAAGAATCAAATGGTGTCGCTTTAGTACTTTTTCTTTTTTTGTCTTTCTGCAAAATTGTAAAGGTAAAAAACTAGCAAGGAAGTGTGAGAACAGAGAGAAGGGGTATTTGGGGTCATATAATCAGATTTAAACTATGTATATCATGGTGCCTCAAAGATACAGGGCAACTATGTTCCATTTATAGATAAAGATTATGTCTCCAGGCCGGGCACGGTGGCTCAAGCCTGTAATCCCAGCACTTTAAGAGGCCGAGGCGGGTGGATCACGAGGTCAAGAGATCGAAACCATCCTAGTCAACATGGTGAAACCCCGTCTCTACTAAAAAAATACAAAAAATTAACTGGGCGTGGTGGCACATGCCTGTAATCCCAACTACTCAGGAGGCTGAGGCAGAAGAATTGCCTGAACCCAGGAGGTGAAGGTTGCGGTGAGCCAAGATCACGCCATTGCACTACAGCCTGGGTTACAAGAGCGAAACTCTGTCTCCCACAAAAAAAAAAAAAAAGGATTATGTTTCTTACACACACATACAAAAAAGGTTTAGCTGTCTGGGCTCTCACTAGTATTTACTCAAGAAAACCAAAATTCTCCAACTGAAAGAAGCTCTCTTTTCACCAAAGATGATAAAAAGTTGGCACAATTTTTCCTTTTTTTTTTTTTTTTCCCAGAGTCTCACTCTGTCCACCACGCTGGAATGCAGTGGTAAAATCGTGGCTCACTGCAACCTCCGCCTCACGGGTTCAAGTGATTCTTCTGCCTCAGCCTCCTGAGTAACTGGGACTACAGGTGCATGTCAACACGCCTGGCTAATTTTTGTATTTTCAGTAGACATGGGGTTTCACCATATTGGCCAGGCTGGTCTCAAACTCCTGACCTCGTGATCCACCCACCTTGACCTCCCAAAGTAGTGGGATTATAGGCATGAGCCACCTAGCTCGATGGGATTTTTCATTTAAACTGAGTTCACACAAGGAATACAAAGTAATCATTGGAAACAACTGAACCATTAGAAAGCTGACAGAGGCCAATTCTTAACTTGGGCAAAATAAGAAAGATGAGACATCTAAGTAGTGTCATTATTAAAAATTACAATCTGATAGAACTAACAGATGCAAGGAATCAGGATGAGTTAACCACTCTTTGGAATGAACAATTGCTCCCTAAGTGGTAATACCACCATGTTCCTAAGTACTGAGGTATTTATCATTTCAGCAAACGAGAACCCAGAAGCCAATGGCTGACAATAAAGTAAGAAATGTGTGTTGGCTCAGAAGCGGCAAGGCAGGGGCGGGCTGCCTTAGACTCTAAGCAGAACCGTTTCTCATTGGCCCGAGGTTTATAATGCACCCCACCACCCAGCTGCCACTCAGACCCAGTCTTACCTTTTTGCTATTATTTAGAGAAAAATTTGCCGCAGAAGTCTGGATCACTTTAGGTCCTAAAGTGTAACAGAAAAGGAAAAAAGCAGGTTATAGCTACATTGGTAATTTAAGATTTTTTTCCAAACCCAAGAAAGATTTATACATTACATGGAAGTGGCCTTAATTTACCTGGTTCTTCTTTAGAGATTTTACAATGTGTAAGTAAAAGACATACATACACACACACACACACACACACACACACACACATAGAATGTCCACTTTCTGAGCCTCATGACTTCCCAACACAAGTCAGCCAGTACAACTGGCATACAACATACAGGGTTTCCACAGGCAGCGAGCATGCTCTCTACATGCGTGGGCCCAGAGGGCATTAACTGTAGAGACTCTGTCTTATATATTTTGTAAAATATAAAGATTTCTTCCAAAAACTAACACACACTTATCTGCTCATCCAATTAACCCCATCTTCCAAAAATACTTATTAAGGGCTAAACATAGTATGTGCTAATACAAGCAGGAAGGCAGAACGTTTTAACTGAAATAACAGGTGTACAAACATCACAAATTCTTTTTCTCCCAATTTTACTGTGATAAAATATACATAAAGATTTGCCGTCCTAACCATTGTTTTTTCCTATAGACTCAAGAACTTGCCATCTGAACGTTTTTTTTTTTTGAGACAAAAAGTCTCACTCTGTCACCCAGGCTGGAGTGCAATGGCGCGATCTTGGCTCACTGCAATCTCCGCCTCCCTGGTTCAGGCAGTTCTCCTGCCTCAGCCTCCTGAGTAGCTGGGATTACAGGCATGCGCCACCATGCCTAGCTGATTTTTGTATCTTAGCAGACACAGTGTTTCACACCATGTTAGTCAGGCTGGTCTCAAACTCCTAACCACGTGATCCACCCACCTCAGCCTCCCAAAGTGCTGGGATTATAGGCGTGAGCCACCGTGCCCAGCCCATGTGATCCATTTTTAAGTGTACAGTTCAATGGTAGCAAATACATTCATACTGTGCAACCATCACTGCTATCTCCACAATTCTTTTCATCTTACGAAACTGAAGCACTGCGCCCATCAAACAATTCCCCATTCCCCTCCCTGCCGTCGCCAGCTGTCACCACTCTACTTTCTGTACTGATGATCTTGACTACTCTAAGTACCCTACGCAATCTTACGGTATTTATCTTTTTGCCACTGGCTTATTTTACTTACTATAATGTCCTCAAGATTCACCCATATTATAGATTCTGTACATATCAGCCCACTGCCTTCTGGCTTCAAAGCTTCTGATGAGGTATCTGCTGACAAACTTACTGATGATCCCTTGTATGCAATGAGTGACACTCTCGCTGCTTTCAAGAATCTGTCGTTGGGTATCTACAGTTTCATTATGATGCATCACAGTGTGGGTCTCTTTGAGTTCATCCTACTTTGAGTTTGCTGAGCTTCTGGGATGTTTATATTCACATTTCATCAAAGTTGGGAAGTTTTCAGTCATCACTGCTTCAGCTATTCTCTCTGACCCATTCTCTAGCTCTTCTCCTTCTCGGACTCCCACAGTGCGTATGCTGGTCCATCTGACAGTGTCCCAAAGGTCCCGCAGTCTCTGTTCATTTTTCTTCTGCTTTTTTTCTGTTCCTCAGACTCAAAAATTTCCATTGTCCTAACTTCTGACTCGCTGATTCTTTCCTCTACCTGTTCAACTCTGCCTCTGAATCCCTCTAGGGTACTTTTCACCTCCAGAATTTCTTTTTGGTTTCCTTTTATGTTTTCTATCTTTTTATTCATACAGTGTTTTCTTGACTTTCTCCATGTCTCTTCATTTAGTTCTTTGGGCATCTTTAAGACAGTTGCAGACAGTTGTTTTAAAGGCTCTGCCTAACACATCTGTCATATGGTCTTACTCAGGGACAGATTCTGATGGTTCATTTTCTTCCTTTTGATGGGTCGTAATTTATTGTGGCTTTGTTTGCCTTGTGACCTTTGGCTGAAAAGTGAACACTTAAATCTAATAACGTACCTCTGGAAACCAAACTCTCCCCTTGCCCAGGGTTTCCTGTTATCCATTTTCATATTTTTGTTTTTGTTGTTGTTACCGACTGTCTGTCTCCGTGCAAAGGACCAGCCTGAGGTTTAAACTTCAAGTCTTCTCAGGTCTGTTCTGAGCCTGCGTCTTCCTCGGGGCACGTGTGGTGACTTTGGAAATTTCCTTTTATTAGCAGTTTTGAATGTCCTGGTCTTCAATGTCTGGCTCCCAAAAACGGGCAAAGGGAAAAATGAGGGGGTAAAAAAAAGTGCCAGCCCTTTAAATCCCCTGGAAGTAACTTTAGCCAGAAGGGGGAGGGGCTCGCAACAACTGAAGGAGGTACAAGGGCAGCAGCCACTCTTTCTTGGCTGTACTTCTGCCATTAGCAGCAGCAGCAGCAATCAGAGCACAGATCCCTGATATCTGCAGAACAGGGTCCTTTTTGCCCACCTTGGTTTCTACAAGCTCTAGAACACACAGCTGCCTGCTACAGGCCTGCAGCGGAGGACGGGTACCTCCTACTGAGCTAAGGGCTGCAATGACCAAAATTAACCACAATCTAATGTATAAGCATTCCCTGCGAAGTTGCAAGCCTTCAAGAGACTCCAGAGTTCCAAAACAGTTACACCACAGGGTCGGCCACCACAGTTGTCCTCTAAGTAAAAGACATAGATTCCCACTCCGCCATCTTCCCAGAATCCTCTCCAAGCTTCGTAATTCCTACAATGCATTTCTTCAGAGTTTTGGCCCTAAAAGAAGTAGTCAAAGGAAGCACTGTGAATCTGCTTTTAATTTAGAACTGGATTCGTTTCAAAACGTATCACTCTCAACTGGTGATGTCGGTTTTTCTGAGCTGCTTCAGTGACAATCCCCGCCTGCAACCAACAAGCCTCCACTCAAAAGGAGGAATACAACCAGGGCAGTATGTCTCTGGAATGCGTTTAGGAATGCTGAGAACGACTTCTCTACGTAGGAAGGAGGCTTGTGTGCACCGTGAGGCTCCTGTTAAACAGATTCATGATCTAAGTAAACTCCTAACCCAGGAAGTAAAGACAGTCTCGTTTCCTGGAAATAATTAAGAACTGAGAGTCAGAAAAACCTGGACTTGGCTGGGCATGGTAATTCACACCTGTAATCCCAGCACTTTGGGAGGCCAAGAAGTCTGGATCACCTGAGGTCAGGAGTTCAAGACCAGCCTAGCCAACACGGTGAAACCATGCCTCTGCTAAAAATACAAAAAAAAAAAAAAAAAAACCTAAAAAATAGCTAGGCGTGGTGACAGGCTCCTGTAATCCCAGCTACTCAGGAGGCTGAGGCAGGACAATCACTTGAACTGGCGAGATGGAGGTTGTAGCTAGCTGAGATCGCACCACTGCTCTCCAGCCTGGGCAACAGAGTGAGAGACACTGTCTCAAAAAAGAAATATCTGGACTCTAGTCTTCACTAATGAGACTTTCTGGATCTTGATTTCCTCTTCTGCAAAATGACAGCTACTAAGCCAATAGTCCCTAAGGTACACCGAACTCTATAATAGCCTTATCACATGAAATAATCAGGAGCAGAGTGTGCTTGTGATACTTAATTTTATGTGTCAACATGACTCGGCCACGGGTGCCAAGACATTTGGTTAAACATTATTCTACTGTGTCTGTGGGTCGTTTCTGGATGAGATTAACAGGTGAACTAGTAGACTGAGTCAAGCAGATTGCTCTCTCCAATGTGGGTGGACCTCATCCAACCCATCAAAGGCCTGAATAAAACAAATTGGCTGAGTAAGGGAGAAATCGCTCTTTCTGGCCGGGCTCTCTCTATATCCAGCTGGGATACTGGTCACCTCCTGCCTTCAGACTCAGACCTGGACTCGGCTGGAACTTACTCCACCAGCTCTCCTAGTTATCATGCCTTTGGGCTTAGACTGGAACTACATCATGGGCTCCCCTGGCCTCTTACTTGCTGACTGCAGATCTTTGGACTTCTCAGCTTCCATGATCATGTGAGCAAATTCCATATGACAGTTAGAAAGACAGGACAGACAGACAGGCAGGCTAGCCAGGTATCTCCTATTGATCCTGTTTCTCTGGAGAGCCCTGACCAATACAGTACTGTATGGAAGAACGAAGGGGACAAAGAAACCGTGACTTCACTTGTATCTCAGCCTTGGTGCATCACTTCACATTTCTGCAAGAGCGGAGAGGGCTGGATATAACCACGCATATGTGAGACAGAGAGTGGCTTCAAGGAACAGAAAGTGGCTGAGGTCCCACTGAGACTGGAGACCATGAGACTATTAATGCCTCCCCTACCAATCTTAAAGGATAGCAGTGAAAATCAAGTAAGATCATGGATATATCGTGTGCTGTAATTAATAGAATCTTTACTTCTTGATGATCTTACAGGAAAGAAGTTGGCTACAGCTGTTATCACCATCACCATCAGATAAACAGCACCTGAAGAGCCACCCTCTCTCTCAGCTTCCTCGTCCATTTGCCAGCGCAGTTTGGGGTAAGAAACTAGCTTTTTTTTTTTTTTTTTTTGGAGACAGAGTCTTACTCTGTCACCCAGGCTGGAGTGCAGTGGTGCAATGTAGGCTCACTCCAACCTTTACCTCCTGGGTTGAAGCAATTCTCTGCCTCAGCCTCCTGAGTGGCTGGGATTATAGGCATCCGCCACTATGCCCAGCTAATTTTTTCTATTTTTAGTAGAGATGAGGTTTCACCATCTTGGCCAGGCTAGTCTTGAACTCTTGACCTAGTGATCCACCCACCTTGGCCCCCCCAAAGTGCTGGGACTATAGGCGTGAGTCACCAAGCCCGGCCAGAAACTAGCCTTTTGAGGTACAAATTGCCTCTGGGACAGGTTAAGCCTAATTGCCATTCACACTTTAGTATTAAGGGCATCAATTACACAACACCTACCAGAAATCGCCCTAATGGAAAAAGACATTTTATTTCCAACGGAAACAAAGCAATGGAGAAATAAATTCTCTCCAGACAAGTCAGGCTCCTGGTTGCTTGCCCTATGCACAGGACTGAAGAGACCTGGGTCTCTGGGAACCTTGTGGAAACCATTTGGCTTCTCTGGTTCTCCACCCGTGAGAAAGGGTACTGGCCTAGATGATCTCACTGCTCCTGCAGCCACCCGCCCCATGCTCACAGCCAGCAGCCCCCCACTATCCTCCCAACCCCGTCAGATGTACAGTAACTTGCTCGGCCTGTCTCCCCCACCAGGCAAGCAGGTTCCGGTTGCACCGTGCCCAGCTGGACCTAGGGCACAGCAGATTAGAAATGTTTGCTTGGAGGCCGGGCACAGTGGCTCACACCTGTAATCCCAGCACTTTGGGAGGCCGAGGCGGGTGGATCACGAGGTCAGGAGATCGAGACCATCCTGGCCAACACGGTGAAACCCCATCTCTACTAAAAAATACAAAAATTACCTGGGCGTGGTGGCACGCACCAGTAGTCCCAGCTACTTGGGAGGCTCAGGCAGGAGAACTGCTTGAACCCAAGAGGCGGAGGTTACAGTGAGCAAAGATTGCGCCATTGCACTCCAGCCTGGTGCCTTGCAACCAGGAGACTGTCTCGAAAGAAAGAAAAAGATGAAAAGGGAGGAAGGGAGGGAAGGAAGGAAAGAAAGAAAAGAGCAAAGAAAGGAAGGAAAAGAAATGTTTGCTTGGCCAATGAAAGGCGTATGGTCGCGGCAGTCCCGGCTGCTGCACGGGGCATGGCCAGGGTCACCTGGGGCTGCTTGCACCTCCCTCAGGACAGACGTAGCAGCCAGACGCACAGGGCTGGGACCCTGTCCACCCTGTGGGCACTTCTCCCTCCGTGCTGGGGCCCTTGGCAGTGGGAGCCAGGGGCACAGCTGGGCTGGCCAAAAGGACATGCGAGGGCCGCCGCACAGGGCAGAAGATTCACCGAGGAAAACCCGAACCTTACCTCTGATCCCAACGAAGACAGTCAGGCCAAAGCAGATGAAGAAGACGACAAACACGAGGACAAAGTGGCGCTTGGAGAGTGTGTAGAGCCGCATGGGCGCCAGCCTGGGGGCAGAAGCCAGCAGTGGGGGATGGTCAGAAGGCCCGTGGGTCATAGGAAATCGGCCCTGTAGCAACAGCTCCCCCCACACGGCGCTGCGCACCTCCCCTCCCAGCCCCTCACTCCCAAGGTGGCCCCTCACTGCCACCAGGCGGCCTCCAGGACACAACAGCCCCCGTGACCTCGGTGCCACGAGCTCCTGCATGTTCCAGCTCAGAGGGTCCATGGACACACCAGCCACCATGGTCTGCACATGGCACACCAACCCCACGCTCAAGGCGAACATACTGGGGCTACTACTAGGCCCCCCAGGGGTCACTGCCACCAAGGCGGTGGCCAAACCCCACCACCCACCCTGCACACGTACATACACACATGCACAAGCACACAGCCTACGGGGGTGGCACCTCCAGGCCCCACTGGAAGCTCCAGGTCCTGCCAGCAGCACACTCCTCCCTCCACTGTCCCCACCAGCCCAGAGCCTGAATCCTCCCATCCCAAGTCCCCCACAACATCAGGTCCCCCTCGTGCCACCCACCAACACGAACACTGCCTTGCTGTGCAGTTTTCTGTGATTTACGCCGATGGGGAAACCCACTCACCCTGCCAGGTTCCCGCTCAGTCACAGGAAAACCCCAGGGGAGAGGGATCATTTCTTTTAGAACACCCTGTATCAGGGCCGGCAAACAAGAAAATCTGTAAAGGCCCAGGCAACATGGGAGGCTTTGGGAACACTTGGGCTCTGTCACAAGGCACAGCTCTGCTTCTCTGGGCAGCAGGGGACACATGAGCACGCCTGTGTCCCAGTCAAACCACTGACAAAAGGCGCGCGGTCGGCCCCCACCCTGTGCCGAGGAGGAGACCCACAGACCAGAGGGACGCGCGGCGCTGTCTGTTTCGCTCTGTCTTGTGTGTTCTCTGTCGTCCTCGCATGTTGTCTTAGGAGCCAGATCAGCAGGAAGGAGTCTGAGCACCTCACCTCAGGGACAGGCAGCTTCACGCCCACCTGAGAGGTAGACACAGGCTCACCCCAGCTCTGCAGGAACGTTACTGGCTTCACGGTCCAAAGCTCACATGGGCAAGGGCACCCCCACCCCCACGGTACACACCCAAGACTGCGGCTGCAGAGCAGGAAGTGACTGCCGGACAGCTTCAGGGCCAGGGCGAGGCTGTGAGTCGACACCACTGGGACATGGCTCTGCTAACACCAGGTCTGCTGCCCCAGCAGGGACTGTGTGGCCACCTGGGCAGTGAGCACACAGACTAGGGCTACCGGATAAAGAAATAAAGAAGAGGTGCCTCTGCAGCTGCACGGGGACTGGGTGCACTCACTCACCCACATACAAGAGAGCTGGGGAAGAAGGCGGCCTGGCCCACCTCAGCTCCGGAGCCTGACAGATCCTCAGAGGTCCAGGAGTCATAAAATACCCAAGCGAGGAATGACCTCAGGGAGCAAAACTCAACGCCTTCAATTCACAGGTGGGGAAACTGAGGTCTGGAGACTATGCACATACCCAGGATGCTGTAACCCTGCCCTCTGCAGCCACACTACGCAGAGGTGGCTCTGGGACAGCGCTGCAGGCTCCAACCTACACCAATGCCTCAGAGCAAGCCCTGCGGAGTGTGGAGGCCAGCCCAGGAGGCCCTGCAGAGTGTGGAGGCCAGCCCGGGAGGCCCTGCAGAGTGTGGAGGCCGGCCCGGGAGGCCCTGCAGAGTGTGGAGGCTGGCCCGGGAGGTCCTGCGGAGTGCAGAGGCCGGGCCAGGAGGCCCCGCAGAGTGTGGAGGCTGGCCCGGGAGGCCCTGTGGAGTGTAGAGGCCAGCCCGGGAGGCCCTGTGGAGTGTGGAGGCTGGCCCAAGAACAAGTCTCCTCTGATCTCCCGCAGTTACCCCAGCTGTCAAGTCAAGTCTATCCTTAGTTTAAGCATGCTGCGTTTACTACGTTATTGTTTTAACACTGCAGAATGGAAGATTCCTAGGCAGCTGCTTAGGGCCTTTTCACATTGAAAAATCACACAAAGCTAAATGGAATAGATGGTGGGGAAATGCAAATAAAGCCTGTAGTTCCGTTAACGGTACTGCACCAAGGTTAATGTCTTAGTTTTGATAAATGCGCCAGGTTATGCGAAGTGCTCCCATGAAGGGAAGGTGGATGGAGAATGTATGGAAACACTCCGCTATCTGACCCTCTGCTGCAAAGCTCAAGTGGCTTTTAAACAATGACATTGCTATTTCTGAGTTCCTACACTGCACCATTCTCAGGGTCCTGTTCCCTGCGGGAAGCCACAGTCCCAAGACTAAGAAGCTCCAATAACGCCACAAGCAGAGGCGGAAAGCACAGAGAAATTACTTGGAAGCAGAGAAAACCAGAATAACTGTATTTTAAATCTTGATTTAAAAACACATTATTGACCCCCTACCAGCACCATTATTTAGCAGATGAGACGAAACGTTGCAAAAAGAGGCCTTAAGAAAGGGTATGGGAGGCTGGGCACGGTGGCTCACGCCTGAATAATCCCAGCACTTTGGGAGGCCGAGGCAGGCAGATCATCTGAGGTCTGGAGTTCAGGACCAGCCTGGTAAACATGGTAAAAATCCATCTCTACTAAATATACAAAAATTAGCTGGGTGTGGTGGCACACACCTGTAACACTAGCTACTTGGGAGGCTGAGGCAGGAGAATCACTTGAACCCAGGAGGCAGAGGCTGCAGTGAGCCAAGATCGCACCACTGCACTCCAGCCTGGGTGACAGAGCAAGACCCCATCTCAATTAAAAAAAATAAAATAAAAAGGGACATGAGAGCACAGAGCAAGTGTATGAGTGCACAACCCACTCAGGGCACCTGCCAGTCTCTCTCAGAAGGCTCAATAAAATCCATTGTCTCCCCTTCCTGAAAACTTGTACTTAAGTTCAACTCATTAGCAATCAAATCATCCAAGTCAAGGGGAAAAGACACAGAGACACAACATAATCCGTCTTCTTGAGCAGGTGTGGGCAGGGCATAACCGCCCACGCTGCACCAGGTTTGTGGGTGAGAAGGTGGGCGCCAGGCCTAGGTTTCCACCACAAGCAGGAATCCTGGGACCCTCTGCAGCCTGCAGGGCGATCATGGGCCAAGGCAGTACCAAGACAGGACGATCCTGCTAACGATGCCTTCCCTTCCACAGCTTTCTGCTCTGGACTTTCCATATGTAAGCTCTGAACCAGACCAGCATGGCTCATGCCTGTAGTTCCAGCAACCGTGGCGGCTGAGTGGGGAGAATCACTTGAGCTCATCACAAGTTGAAGCTATAGTGAGCTAAGACTGCACCACTGCACTCGACCTGGGCAACGGGGCAAGACCATCTCTAAAAACTTAAAAAAGCAGCTGGGCACAGTGACTCACACCTGTAATCCCAGCACTTTGGGAGGCCAAGGCAGGCAGATCACAAGGTCAGGAGTTCAAGACCAGTCTGGCCAACATGGTGAAACCCCGTCTCTACTAAAAAATACAAAAATTAGCTGGGCATGGTGGCTCGTGCCTGTAATGCCAGCTACTTGGGAGGCTGAGGTAGGAGAACTGCTTGAACTGGGACCCGGGAGGTGGAGGTCGGGCCACTGCACTCTAGATTGAGACTCCATCTCAAAAAAAAAAAAAAAAAAAAAAAGCTTTGAGCCAAAAAGCCAGAGACTTCAGAAACCTCAGAAACGAGACCGTGTTTCGGATGAATCACAGCTCAAAAACTGGTAAAACGACAAGTTCTTGAGAAGCCAAGGTAAAAACGGGGGGAGATGAGTTGTCTTTGTCAGAACTGACCCAGCCTCCTGCTGAGACCAGCTCGGTGACCCCAACGGCTGGAGTCCCTAGCCGCTTCAGAACATGGCTCCTGTCCTGTACCAAGTGCCTCCTGCTGAAACGCTCACAGTCTCTAACAGCCAGCCCACCTAGACCAGTGACCGAGTAAGACTCAGTGACCAAGACAGCCCACGGCCCTCTCTGATGCGTCCACCAAGGGAGGATATTTCTAAACACCTAGAGGCAAGGCTGCAATGCAGAAAAGATAACACAGCCTACCAACGGGAGCAGGGGTGTCCCTGACCCCAGGCCTTCCCCCTCATCTTGTTTCTGTTGTCCCCGTGTGCATCCTGAAACCTCCAGACCTAGACTCTGGTCACCCCTCATGTCAGTCCTCCAGCATCAGCTCATCTCCTGCTGCTTCTCTCTTCGTCCGTCCTTCCTTCGGGAGCCACCCTCCCTGCCCATGCCTACCCCACCTCAAACAGGGTCGCTCAAGACATTTTCACTTAGAAGCCCTGCGATACTTTAAGGTTGAAAGGTTTAAAACTGAGCTGAGGCCGGGCGCGGTGGCTCAAGCCTGTAATCCCAGCACTTTGGGAGGCCGAGGCGGATGGATCACGAGGTCAAGAGATCGAGACCATCCTGGTGAACATGGTGAAACCTCATCGCTACTAAAAATACAAAAAATCAGCTGGGCATGGTGGCGCGTGCCCGTAATCCCAGCTACTCAGGAGGCTGAGGCAGGAGAATTGCCTGAACCCGGGAGCCGGAGGTTGCGGTGAGCCGAGATGGCGCCACTGCACTCCAGCCTAGGTAACAAGAGCGAAACTCCGTCTCAAAAAAAAAAAAAAACAAAACAAAACACTGAGCTGAAACACAAAATAACATAACTGAAAAGCCCGCTTCCACTGCCCACTTCCTGCCTCCACCCTTTCTCCATTATCATACCCTGAAACCTGGCACCACCTCAGATGCCCCTCTCTCGCTCCCAGACAGCCAGGAAGAGCTGTGTCCTCACTGCCCAGCTCTCCTTCATCCCCAGCATGCCCGGCCCTCTGTCCAGGCCCCAAAAACTCCTGCCAGCTGCCACCGTCACCTCCAGACATGCCTTCCTTCATGCCATTCCAGCACTTTTAACAGCCTCAGCCTGCCCGGAAGCCTACGATGCCCCGCAGCCAACTCGATCAAGTTTAGACAGGCCTTTCAAAGTCCCAGAGATCCTTCCCCA